ATGTGGCTGGGCGACGTGAGTCCTGGCACATGCCACCCGCACGTTGGGGCGCCGCAAGTTCCTCAGTTTGGCAGGGCGCTCTGCGCGAAGCGGGCGGCGCCAGGCAGTGAGGGATGGTGTAAGGGCAGGGAAGATGCGGGCATGCTGTGCAGCCGGCGGTTGAGCCGAGACGCGTCCTGCCCCAACCGTGCTGCTGCCTGCATGCTGGGCTGGACTGCGGTTTATCTGCGCCGCTGATGGTAGCACGGCTGAGAGCCAACACTAGACGTTGAATTAATCGAGTGTCAACGCACAGGTGCAGGTGGCTGGATAGTGGCGAATGTGTGTTGCGAGCGATCCAAACGGCACACCGCAGCATCCCGTTGACACAATGCGCCGGCCGCTGCGAAAGCGCGTATGTGTATGGTAGGGTACGGTGTATCAAACCAGCCCTTGTTGCACGCACGATGCAGCCGTCTGTCTTCCAGAGCGCCATGCATCAATAGCAGGCAGCGCAAGGACCAGGTGCAGTCGCTTGCGAAGCCAGGGTGGGCCACCCGTGTGTGGACCGGGCTGTACAGCAGAGGCCGCCACCTGCCACGCAGCTGGCTGCCAGGCGGGCGAGCGGCCGCCACCTGTGCCGCGACGTGTAGCAGACGGGAGCCTACGTTTTGCAACGAGCTCGTTTACCCGCGAGTTCTAGCAACTGCTGAGACTCAATTCATCATACTGTACCGGTAGATCTATCAATCAAGGCGAATTGCCCAGGCTGAGGGTTTCGACCAGGCCATCGCAGACGGTGTAGAACGTTCACAAGCCACCTTAGCGCAATGTCTTCAAATAATCAGGAGCCATGCAAGCCACCGGGCGGCACTGATCAGCCGCACAGCCCTCCAGCCGTGCCAGACAGTGCCCCGTCAACGGCGCAAGCTTCAGCTGCGTGCGTCGAAACAGAGACGACAGCGCTGCAGCTGGTGTTTGCGGCGCTGCCCCTCAGCCTGATGCACATCACCATACCCCGCCTCAGCCGGTACTGGCGCGCCTGGGCCGCCAAACAGCCGCGCGTGGGACGATCTCGCCAAGATGGCACCCGTGTGCGCGACCGGTTTGTGCCGCTGTGGCACGCGCGGGAGCGGCTGCCAGCTCTCATACGCGTCCTGGGTGATGGCGCGTTGCCTGAGCTCAAAGCCTACCTGGCAGCCGCCGCGTGCCACGACGATATCGAGGCGCTGCGCTGGGTGCAGGCCGAGGGCATCTGCAGGTTCGACGCTGACACCGCCGCCGCCGCCGCGGCCGCCGGCGCGCTTGGCGCGCTGCGCCTGCTGCTGGACGCCGGCTGCCTGGCCTGGCGCGTTCCATGCGCGGCCGCGGCAGCAGGGCAAGTCGGGGCCCTGCGGTACTTGGAGGAGGAGCGCACGCGGTGGCCGGAGGGGTGGTGTGAGTTCACAGCAGAGGTTTGCGCTCGCGCGGCGCGCGGCGGCCACCTGGCTGCGCTGCAGTTTCTCAGGCGGAAAGGCGCGCCATGCGACGACGACATTGCCGCCGCAGCAGCAGAGGGCGGGCATTCGGAGCTCCTGCGCTGGGCGCTTGCGGACGGCGCTCGGGTGGGCAAGGGCGCGGTCATGGGGGCTGCGGGAGACAGCGAGAGGGGCAGCCTTGAGTGCCTGCAGATCTTGTTCCGGCACTGCTGCGACAACGGCGGCAGCAAAGGCGGCGACATGAGCAGCAGCAGTGGCAATGGCGGCGGCAGCAACGGCACGGGCCAGCCCAGCAGCATGGTGCCCTTTCCCTTGGAATCCCGGGCACTCGTCTGCGCTGCGGCCAGGGGGGATGCCGCAATGGTGCAGTGGCTGCTGGAGCCGGGGCGCTGCACCTTGGGGGACGCAGCAAGGCACGCCTGCAGGGAGGCGGCGAGGCGCAACGACGTCGCTATGCTCGCGCTGCTGCGCAAGCACGGGGTGCCGTGGGACGGCGACACGACCAACGCTGCAGCTCGTGGTGGCGGCATGGCTGCGCTCACATATGCGTATGATACTGGTTGCCCGCTGGGGGACGAAGTCTGCCTGGGCGCTGCGGAGGTGGGCGACATTGGCATGCTGGAGTGGGCGCTTGCAAGGGGGGCGCCCTTGATCCCAGAGTACCATGAGGGACTCGATGATGTGGTGGCCGCGGCGGCGACTGGCGGCAGCATTCCTGTGATGCGCCGGCTCTTTCTGGAGGAGGGAATCCCCATGACGGCGGACACAGCCAACATCGCCGCTTCGTCAAAAAAGGTGCGTGGCGCGCCCGCCGCCGCGGGCGCCCCCGCCCGCGGCCCGCACTTCCTAGTCACCTCGATTCAATGGTGCCTGCGAAGGCTATCGACGTGCAATGCATCAAGCTCGACCTTATCC